AAAACCATTTATCTCATTAGCAAAGTCCACTTCAAAAGGTAATGGAAGTGATGAGCTTGGATAGATCAAATCAGATGTGTGACCAATTTTTAGAGCACAGCATGCAAGAAATAATTAGCTTACATAACTTTACTTAAAATAAAATTAAAATGATTGATTAAATAATAAACCTCAGACATTTAGGAACAAAAATCAGTAATATATTATCATACAAGAGTTTGGATTAAACTATCTTCTCACACAGGGAAGCGGGAAGTATTACTTTAGTAATGTTCGACAGCTCTTAGTAATAAGCAGAATTTTTCAACTTGTGTCTTAAAACATGAAGTACAAAGCAGATTTTTTTTCAACTCATGTCTCCAAGCATTAAATTACAGGTATATATAAACACCAGATATATGAAAAAATATTTTTTACTTTTCTCATATGAGACTGAAATTCTTTCTTTTAACTTAAGACCAAAGCAAATTCATCCTGGAAATCATAAAGTAACTTCAGACAAACGATAATTTAAGAAACCAAATTAAACTAAATTTCAGAAAGCCAAAATAGATATGTGCATGCTTTAGGCAAGAAAAAAAGTGCGTGCAGGTAAGAAAAATTTCAGGCTGTCTGTATGGATTTACACAACATTAATGCTGTTATATTGGTGTGTAGGTATTTAAACAGTGGACCTTTCTATTGCATTTCCAGAGAGATTCCATATTGCAGTCTCACCTTTTTGCATCTGACACAAGTTTCTGTGCTCTAAGCTTGAGGGTTTTTTTTAAAAAAACTTCTTTATTTTTTTCCCCTTTTAAAAAATTTCAAGATACTTTTAAAATGCAGTAAGGATATGGCTACAGTGCATTTCAGACAGCCAGTTTGAACAAATGGACTACAAATGGAAAGCTAAGCCTAGAACAAGAACATTAAATTTCATTTAAATTTTCTGAGTACTAGACTGAAATGGAAAGAGTAATAGCTTGTAGGTGCAGCAACTGATGCAACAGGGAAAAGTGCAAAGCCAGAGTTCAGATAATTAGCAGCTAACAGCCCATAAAACAGAAACATACAACTAAACTGGAGTTTCCCTGTTGGAATCCATAAAGTCAGAAGGTTTTTAGGAAATGGTTAAAAAAGAGTATGTAGGCTTCAAGATGTGGCTTGAAGTTTTGTTACAGCAGAAAAGTTTCTCAAGCAAGCAGAAAAGTTTCTTAAGCAGTAGACGTGACAAATAACAATAAGACTTTGTAGATTTAGCTTTAAGATGGCAACAAGTTTATTTAATGTATATCTTTAGAAGGTTACTGTGAATAGAGCTCTGTTCTTTGTTTCTTATGAAATAGTCTTTGTTTTAACTACCATTACGTATGTTTTATAAGGTTGGATGGAAAGCTTGTCAATATGTCTTGTTTTTGTGTGATTGGCTGTAATCCAAACTGAAATGATTTTATGTCATTCCGTATTACCCCACCTTCGGGGGCATTTCCTGGTATGCCAGCGAACTGTTAACATCTAGTTCCATTGTAACCATGTTCTGAGACTGATGTGCTAATAATAAAAAAAAGCTGGTCTAGATTTGTCCAGTTTTGTCCATATTTAGACTTTTTGCTGTGGCGAGTTCCTCTCTTAAGACGTAGGTTCCTGACACCATTAGACCTATAGCTACCCTGTTGCCCCGATATTTCCCTAAAACAACATTAATAAAACTAGAACCTTTATGTGGTTACAAAACTGCTGAAGCTGTGTCTGGTGTAGGCTGGCTTCAGTTAAAACTGAATGGAACTGGCTCCTAATTAAATATGAGCACCACCAGACCCTTTCAACTTATTTTCTCCTCTGTAATAATGGTTTTTCATTTCAAACTCGTTTAGTTTGAATGATCTTGTCACACCTACTGGAAGTAATTCAAACACTTTCAGCACTAGTTAGAAGAAGCCTATGAAAACTCTTCTTCTGACATTGTCCAACAGATGAGAAAATATTTGCTGTGGTTAAGCCTCTGAAGTGATTTGAACTTTTGAATTCTTCTGGGCTGACTAGAGAGCACTCTGTAATCTTTAAACAGAATGAAATTTGGTTGAAATTGTATTACGCCATGACTCTCCACTGTTGAAACTCCATGTGGAAACTATCTTTTAGAAAAGTACTGACAGAATTGTAACTGAAATCACATTCTCTGATTAGATGGGAGATGTTAAAGCTAAAGTAAATGCCAGCTCAGGCTCTAATCAATCTAAGTTTCTCCTAATTTTAATGGCCACTGCTAAATCTACCTCTAACACAAATGTTCTGGTCAACAAAAGCTTTACTGCTGTTGCTTTCATTGTAAGCACATGCTTACAATGTAGGCCAGACATAATTTTTATTTCTTCATTCTTCTTCCATTTCAAACTTATAGCTGTGTAGCTGGAATTTTCTAGCAAAATGGCTTAAACAGAAATCTTCAGGAAAAATATAAAAAAGAAGTGAAAAAATGATAGATTGAAAAGAATATAAACTAGTTTTTAATGAATTTCAGATGATATGAAATATACCATCTTTTACCAGAAAAGGGAAATTACATGAAAAATATAGAACTTTCAATTAAGGAGGTCTGAGTAATTCACTAACACTATGAAACTACTTGTGCTTGTCTGCTGAACAGGAAGGATACATTAAAATTAAATTGTGAGCATTTGATTCTAATTTTATGTTGAGCATGTCTGAAGATGTTCAAGACAGACTGAAGATGGTCATTAATTTCACCATGTCCCTGTAGACATTACGTTAATTGGCAGTGTGACTGCAGTAAAGCTGTGAGCAAAAATATATTCTATTAAGCAACGTAAAGCAAGAAAACTAATACAGGTATGTGCTGAGCTTAACAGCAGAGGTCCTTCACTGCCCATGTATCTTCACTGGATTCCTGAGACTTGCTTGAGATTTCAAATCAGAAATATGGCCATATCAAAATTCCAAATGTCCTATTTTCCTGTGGCACTTTGAGTCTTCATACCTGTTTTATATTAAATCTCAATAAATTTCCTTGAAGTTAGAAGTCCATCTCGGGATAAAGAGAGAAAGAATAGAACAAACATTTACTCTAATGCATGCTTCAGAATTTCAGGGAAAGGAGCAACTCACAAGGGAACAGTGCAAGTTAGAGACCCTTTCTGGCTGCATAAACTTGACACACATAACAGCTGAGTGTTGGCACCCTGCCAAGTTTGGTGCTGCTGCACATTTATTTTAAAAATCCCATCTAAATTACCATCATCTCTGCAAGAGATTCCTTCAGCCTCTGATTTCAGGAGTTGCCCACAACCCTGTTTTTGTACCTGTGTGGGTGAACATTAGCTGTAGCACACTACTTTCCCAGCGGCGTTGCTCTCAGGTTAGCAATGTCACAAAGCCACCGAGGAATGTCTTCCAGGAGAACCCCCTGGTGTTCTATGGACTGCTCTACAGAGCTCAAAGGAGGACCACTGACCTTGGCAGGAGGATCAAATAATGATGTGGCTTTCTAGAAAAGGCTGCAGGTGGGACACATCATCTTCAGCATCAACTTTCAGCTGGGAAACAACAGGCAGCTGGTAAATGGACCCTTGGTGTTTCTTTCTGCCACAGGCAGACACTACCACCAGTCCACATTCTGTTCCAGAACTAGTGATGTAAAAATCACTTTTTTCTGAATTCCTTTTGTAGTATTGCCTTATTTTTAGTCTCTATTGGTTTAATGTGTAGCTTCAAAAAAAGCCCAACCAACCAAAACCAAGCCAGCTCTTACGTTTTTATTTAGCAAATTAGGTTAAAAATGTAATATCCTAATTTATTTAGCAAGTTAGGATATTACGTTTTTATTTAGCAAATTGTATCAAATTAATTTCTTATGAAGATTTCTGTTCCAAGTTCTTCAAAACAGTTTCTGCTTGTTCTTATTTAGGAAAATTACATTTCAGGTGACGGGATGTATAAGAGTGGAATTCAGTAAGATGGGGTTGTCTTAGAAAAACAGTATATTAACTTGAAAATTATCAAGAATCCAGTAACTACACTAAAGACAATGCAAGAAATGTTCCACTTTTTCCTTTCATAAAACAGGGATCAAGCATCTGATTCCTCTGATGAAGCCAACAGAAAATTTACTAATTTCTTTTCAAAGAGCCTCAAGTCAATCCAGAAATTTCTATTCCCTAGCAGTACAAAATTTCTGATGGGAGCACAGCTGATTTTCAATAGAAAGGCACACACATTAATTCAATCAGAAGTATGAAAGACAGAATAATCCTTCAATGTTCAGTTATAAGATACCATGAGCCTGAGAACTTTCCTTTCGCTGTTCCTAAATCCCCTCTTTTTCTGATTGTTACACACCTGAATGTACCTGCCTTTGGAAAGTCTTAAATTCAAATAAGTGTAGTGGTACAAACATTGAAGAAAAGTAGGGAGAGCAAGTAGGTTTGCATAACTACTAAGATTATCAGCTTACTCCAGCTGTAATTTCATCTAGCTGTAAGACATTTGTTTTGTGTTTTTTTTCTTAATTTCTGCTTGTTTTTGACTCCTGATAAGATCAAAGTACATACAGTTGACTAATATTGTCCTGAAACATTTCTACTAAGTTCAGCTTTTATCTCTCATGAAGCAGATGACTGATAGCCCATTATTTTTTACTCTGTTCCGTGGTGTTTCAACAGTTTCCTTAGAAAGTGGCAAGGACTGCAAACAAATTTTTAATTTTTATGTGTGCTGCTTGAGCAAACATCTGACTTTGTAGCATGTAAATAAAATGACCACAAGGTCAGGCTAACTTACTTTCAGCAATCTTTGGTCCTTGATATAAAATCAAACACAAGAAACACATTAGTGTCTTCAGGAAAAAGAAGTCAGTGTTAAAAGCTGGAGACTGTTAGAAAATGGGCCACTCATTTAAAACATTTAGTGTGACATTTGTTTTGGGGTTTTTTTATTTTTTAAAAAATGATTCTGTTGTATTTGTTTTGTTTTGTTTTTTTTTTAAATCAAAACTTTACTCCTGGAGTTAGACAAAAAGTAGTTTATTGCCTGAAAGCTTTCACAGTGATTTGTATTTCACAAGATGAACAGACAGTTTCATAAAGAAAAACAAAGTTGTGGGAAAAAACAAAAAGCAGTAATTTTTGTCCTGGAAAAAAATGACAGCACTCCCTGCGTGCCTGCGATGTAAATGTGCTTCCTTCAGGACTCCAGCAAGACTTTGGATGCAATCCTTGGGCTCAACTTGTGCTTCTGTCACAACTCCTATGCAGCACTTAGATCTGTCTGCAGGACACAGGGTCTTCTGGCAGCTGTTAATTGCACAGACATGAGCACAACCTCTTCCTTGTAGGCTGCTGAACCCGTGGCAGCAGAAGACATTACATTAAGAGTTATTTATGAATACAGACACTACCTCCAAAGCTCCAGAGAAAATACAGTGACTTGAGCCATTCCCTCCATGTCCTGTGACACTGAAAAATTTTGTGAGTCAAGTTTGTGAGCTTTTTGTTTTTGCAGGAAAAACACTCATGCAACAGATACCTGAAGCTTCTTGCCTCTCATTACAGGACTTTAAAGCTTGCATTTTGAAATTGCATAATTTTAATCAACAGTATGCAGCATAACATGCGGTTTAACTATGATAAAAGGCTGAGCTAGTAAAAGAGCTGGCTGATTAAATGAGAAGCGGAACAGTCTTAAATATAATGAGTTATGTTCAACAACTGTTCTAATGAAAGCTAGAGAGAAAAATTGGTGGCTTTGGTTTTTATTTCTTTCCCTCTAGGATCTTCAAGTTCACACAAAATAAAACATCACTGTTCATTTAACCACAGTATTGCATAGGGCTAAAACATTTGTTCTATAGTTTTAACATTTAAACAGTCTAGAATTACATCTGCAAATGATTGCTTGTGCAATGACCCATCTTAAACACTTCTGGTCAATCAAACACTGCCTTCTTTGATAAGAGCTTAACAAGCTTTACTGGCATCTAGTTCTTTGCAGGACGATAAAAATAAAAATCTGGCTCAATGTATTTTTAAAAACTGGAAATTAGGAGTGCTCTAGACTTTTTAAAATCTCTTACATACTTAGTGTGATTTTCATTTATCCCCAGACTTCCATAAGAGCTTTTTATTTATCCCCAGTCTTTCACAAGAGCTTTTTTTTTGTCCCTATTTTTCTCCATTTTTTGGTTTTGTTTTAGTATCACAGACTGCTGTGTCAGAATGAATTTGTCAGAAGTCTCTATTAGAGAAGTTAGCAATAAAAAATTGAAAATGAGATTGTATCTCAAATACTTGTAACATTTACTTACCATGACAATAAGAAAGTATCTCTTGGTAATGTGCAATATTCGGCTACAGCTACTTGAGCAATCTGAAGGAAGTTATTTTTTAACGCAGCAGGGAATCTTCAAAGTAGCTGAATTTATTTTCCATTTTTCTTTAATTCACAGGAAGCAGCAATACATTTTAAAAATGTTTATTCAGCTTCAGGTGTCTCTTCTAAAGATACCTCTGGTATATTTGATGCACATCTTCCCTCATTACTTCAAACACACTAAAACTTTGAGGTAATATAGGACAAGACATAAGAGCACTTGCAAAAAAAAAAAAGCAAAGATCTGTATTAAAAAATTTTAGGCAGGATAAATAGAAAAATATTCTGTGTTCCTTTCACTACAAATGGTTTCAGCATAATAACAGTTCAAAAAGCAAAATAATCAAGCCACAAAGTCCAAGTGAATTTCTAAAGCAAACCTGACTTAAGCAAGCCTTTCACCTGTGTTACATTTCAGGGACTGGGCCCACAGCAATAGAGAAGACAAAGCACTCCTGAGGCAGATTGTCTCAGGTTATTTTGCATTTCACTTAAGAGGGATGAAGGGAGGGAAAAAATTTTACCAAAATTAAAAATCAAACCTTGCAATGCTGTCTCCCGTGCAGGCAAAGAATTGCCCCTCTCTACGGCAGCATCTCCATTTATGCCTGCCAGCCAGTACTGACTGTCAGTATTGGCTGCATGAAGGAACATATACCCAGAGGGATTTGGGGAAATTTAGCAGTGGTGTCCTCCTGTCCCACATGGACCTTTCAGTATTCCAGAAATACAAGGCACTTGCTGGGACGGCCTGAGATGAAACCTGTGAGTCTAGAAGATGGTCCTCTGCCATATTCAGTGCTAAAGGTGTGCCACACTTTCTCTATGATAATTCCAAAAAGGAACTCCAACTTAAAATGTGACATTATCTGGCTACATGAAGATTATTCCTTTGCAAGCATGATTTCACCCTCTCATTAATATGCTATACTGCGATACTCTAAGTGAGATATTTTTACAGTTGTAAAGATATGTTTTGAAAATGACATAGGCAATGCAAGTTATAGTTTTCCATATGGAATCAAAAAGCTAATCGGAGTCTTCATCATCAAGGTATTCCTCTGCATTACTCAATGTTCGGACTGTACCTGGAAAAAACAAAATTTAAAAAAAATTAAAATACTGAAAATACCAGGCACAGAGGCAACAAGACTGACATAATTCACAGAAGTGACAACAATATTATCCTACATTTCTGGAACAAGAATAATGAATAAGTTTAAAATGAACCTGCTCAACCATTTTGGGAAAAGAAAGCTAAGTGAAAAAAACGTTTCTCATTTTTAGGAGGAGAAGCAGCAAATGAAGAGCAGGAAGAAAAGAAATTGCAGAGCCTTGTGCTCAAGGGGCCATATTTCAAGCAAGTACAAATTACATTTCTTCTGCTCCCCTGTTTAGCGGCACAATTAACACAACCTTTTAATATTTCAATGACATGAATTTAATAATTTTAATTTTTTAGAATGTACTTCAGCAATTGACATTTGAATATCTGTCTGTACAAGTAAAACATAAATCTGAACATTGGAGACAAAGTAAGCTTCCTCCAATAAAACAGTTTTAGAGATGGACTGTGATAGAAGCCATATGTAAACAGGAACAAGGGAGAGATGACTGCTGATATAGAACTGAATCTCTGAAAAAGAACAATATTTCACATCCAGACATTGGAAATATTTAAATGCAGAATCAAGAGACAGAAAAATTAAATTAGTGAAAATAACCAAGAAAATACAAAATGTGAGGAAAGTATAGGAAATGGTGGTGTCAGAGTATTATAAAAGCCCAAGTTAAGACAGAAAAATGAACAAAGATGCTAATACTGAAACTGCAATTAGACTGAGAACATCAGCTGTTATATTAAGGCAAGTGAAAAAAGACAGGGAGTGAAATTACCAGAGACTGATAACTAAGACAGAGACAAGGTGACTAAGGACAAAAAATCAGTTAGTCATTGAAACAAAATTAATTTAAAGGGAGTGAAGAAGTAGATTAGTTATGTAGATTAGTTACTTAGCATGAGGAAATAAAACTTTGGTACAATTACTGGGACATCAGAAGAGAGAAAACACCTGTGCCAGGTGCCTACAATCAACAACCAAAGATAACCAAAGTTTTTCTAATAGGGATCAAGTAAATTTAGGAAAATACTACATTATATATATATAATAATATATATTATATATACATATTGCCCTTTTTTAATACTCCTTTCTTAAGAACCAAGATTGGGAGAAAAAATTTGCCACATTTCTGGGAAATCCTGATTTCACCTCTGCTAAAGAGCAGAACAGTATTTTTGGTGCAATTGCTCTTCCTGGCCTTCTCAAGTTGCAGTCAGCTATTCCTCCATTTAATTACCATAACCTCTAGGCCCCTACAGGTTAGCATTCCCTCTGATCTCACTAGTCCTGTGAGGATGCAACTGCTGTATTGCATATCCCACCAAACCTGACTGTAACCTGTGTTTTCAAGTAATTTCTTATTCCACTTAAGAGTTTCCACCCTTACTTCAGCCTCCTGAAAGCTACAGACAATAGTACTTACAGAATACTGAACAATTCAGTCTTTAGCCTTTTAAAATAGCCTCTTTAACTCTTTTGGACAGGGACACTATGCTATTTGGAGAGATGAAGACAAGTGGTAGGCAGTGAGACTATTTTAATTAACACTTGAAAGCATTCTTTATTTCTCAGTTAGACAGTCACTCAGAGACACACAGAAAAAAGAAAGTAAGAAAAAAATTAGCAGTAAGAAAAGGAGGATCATATGTTGGTGCTTCTTTGGCTTAAGTCTGGAAGAACAGACAAGCACATGGAGAAAGACAGGACATTGTTTTATTCTTGTACCCTGTCTCTTTTGGTATGCTACTTTTAAAATAGTTTCTATCCTTGCTTTAATTTTGTCTGAAGGGCCAGTCTTCTATTTTCATCTCTTCCCTTAGTATTTTCACACCTTCTGAACTCTTCTGAACTCTTATGCCTCTTGCTGATACAAGGTGCCATTTTGTGTGGAGTCAGCAGCAAGGCATATGATAAACCATCTTCCTACCACAGCTCTAAACTAACTCTCTCAAGCAAGCCCTTCCAGACACAAGTCTTAGGCCACGTAGCTCCCAAATGGTTTTTATGGCTATCAGTATATTGGTATTTGACTAAAGTATTATTTCTTCAAAAGTAAAATTATCAGAAAAACAAAATCAGAAATACCTGCACTCTGTTTCTTCTTAAGCAAAGAAGCACAAGCTGCGTTCGTTGCCATATCTAAAGCCAGTTTCTTCTCGTTGTTTTTCAGATCTGTTCTTGCCCCTTCATGAGGAAAAGTTTAATCAGAAATCACAATCCCAGTTTTTTCTCAACCAATGCCATTATGATATGACTTTCACTAATGTGGGTAGAACAGTAATAGACAAGGGAATCTGAGCTACTGACTGCTCTGAAGCAGACCAAAAGCTATGGATGCTCTTGCATAAGCTACAGTTGTTTAGGAAACTTGCTGGCTGCTCTTCCTTTTTAAGAAGCAGATGTCATTGCTGTTCTGGGGTTAAAGTACCTAATTTTGTCTGTAAAGCATGATGAAATTATCTTGAGGTGTCTACCTTCCAAACAGCTGCCAGAATTTTCTGCAAGACTTTTCCTGCAAGTCAGGCAGGTGAGCTGGCTCAAGACTGTAGCTGAGTTATACATAAACACTTAAGAAATACAAATTAAACAACATTCAGGAATCTAGTCTCTACACAGATTGTCGAAACCTTGGTGAAGATCTTTACCCTTTTCCAGCAGCATCTCTACAATATCTGCATAACCTTTCCATGCAGCAGCATGCAAAGCTGTGTCTCCCAATTTGTTCTGTGGAGTTAGAGGGAAAAGCAACAGGATTAAAACGCAGCAAAAACCCTTTCAGCTTCTACCAAAGGTGAGTAACATCACGCCTCTACGCTAAGGGTCTATGGGTTCAACCTACCTGTTGGTTTAACTCTAGGTTTGCCTGGGCAAGCAGCACATCTACTACATCTGCAGGGAGAGATGGCAAGAGAAGAATTTAGTGGAAAGGAATTATGCTATTTTTGCATTCATTGTAGTTAAGATTCAACAAAAGACCAATCAAATCAGCTAATGAAAATCTGTAAATCAGACTGCATTGAGCAAACAACAATTAGTCACAAAAAATGCTTCTGCATGAAGTACCCCAAATAATACTGCATTTCTGGAGGATCTGTCCTCCTTCCACTTTTCCTCTAAGTTACACTAATGAGCTTGCCTGCTTCAAGAGCAAACAACAACACACAGCACTTGATGGAGCTGAACCTGCCTCCTAGACTGATTTTTATTAAAGAAATAAAAAGTAGAATTACATGGACAAAAACCTGGCTTTATTATTTAGCACTACAATTTTATCAATCAGCCTAACAAGCATAACAAGAAAACCAGACAACAATAATTTCAAATTAATGCTCTGATACCTTTATGGCCTCCATGGCATGCCCAATACAGAGCTGTGTTTCCAGCTTTGTCTAAACCATTGACACCAACTCGATTATCCAAACACTCTCTCAACCAGCTCAGGTTGCCTGAAAGACAAAATCAGTTTTTATTATTGTTTTTTCTTTGGAAAGTTAAAAGAAGCATTACAGGTAAATAGTACTGTCTAAATGGTGTCAGTCTTCCCCATGAACTCATGAAGAGAGGAAGCGATTAGCAGCAATTTTTAATTCACTGAACAACCACTCATACCTAGTCATAGCAAATCATGACAAAGTCATACTAACCAGTACTAAATATCTTTCCTCCTATTCCCAGAAGATCTTTACATCCTATATATATACCTATATATGTAGTTCAATGGATGGTACCACCATTCCTCTGTGTATAGACAGAGTGCCAATTCCACCAGGCAGTATCTCACCTTTTCAAAGCCGTAAAACTTACCAGACAACTTGCTCAAGAAACAAAACAACCAAAACAAGTAAAACATCTTAATTCTAAATATATTATTATTACTATTACTCTCATTATTATTACAGTAGAAAACAAGCAAATCATCCTTTGGCATCACACAACTAAAACACCAAACATACCTCGTTTGGCAGCTTCATGCAGTGGATTATCAATAGACTCTGCTTGCTCTGCCACTGAAACGAAAGAGTAAATTCTAACTACTTCTGAAATATGTACTTGAAACCTGTGTGGAAACAAAGTGTACTTGATTCTAAAATGAAAACAGATTTGTGAGTGACAGACTAGTGAGATGCACTTTAATTTCCAGCGTATGGGAAACTAATTCAGAGAAAACCTGGTGAAAACTTCAAACAGCATCACATTGCACAAGTGGTCTAAGAAGATGTGTTCCTAATACTCTTTGTTCTTAAGGTCTGCAAAAGCTTCTGTTCTGCTTATATATGGAATTTTTGCAAATGTGCGGACAGAGACACTACCCCAACCCTGGTCTAAAATTGAAGCCTTACAAATAATCTCAATGGGAACATGAATTAAGAGATTTTTGGGTTTATTTTCAATATTCACTTCAATATTCAAAAGAAATTTGAATGTAGATACGCAGCATGTATAAATTAGCCTTCTTGCACACTAACAGTGCATGATCTCTGATCTCTGGCAGACAGCAAGAGTAGAGTCAGTTTGGAAGTCACAAACTAAAGTGAAAATTCATGTAGCCTCAATGACTACACCACAGATTTCTATTAATATATTTTTACTAACTACAGGGCAGGGAAACAGAGCATTGCTACCATAATGTCTCCTACTGAAGAAGGGACAACATGAATCAACCTAAGTCATATTGGCAGCTGTGATGCAATCTGTCATGAAACACTGCTACGCTGTCTACAATTCCTGGCAGGACTTGGAGGAATTGTATTGTGTTGTCTGTACTGATGGCTTTTAAAAGTGATTTTCGTTGAATCTGAAAAAGCTGTTTCTATTCAGTCCAAACACACACGGGATATTTAACGTGGTACAAACCCCAAGAAACCAGCGTTTTCTGTGGCAGAATATATTCACTAAAAAAACCACAAAAGGCAAGCAAAACTCCATTCTTTAGATCCAAGTGTTCCTCCCCTCAAAACTTGAGAGTATCTCATTACCTCTAAAGAGCATAACCAGAAACATGAACACTCAGCAAACTCAAACTGTCACTAGGTTATTAAAACACAAGACAGCTTGTGCACTGCTGATGTAGTGGTACCTACAGTGGTTACCACTGGTAACTGCTACTGCAGATGGATGTATTCTGAAATACATGGTGGAGTACTGTTAAGCACCAATACTGTGGTCTATTTCTGAGATGATGTCTTTTTATTTAGTGATTTCCTTTAATTGTGAATGATCTTACCAAATAAAAATATTCTAGACTTTACCATAGTTGCTTGGAATTAGTCCAGTTCTCCCTTTACAAGTTCCTTTCCACCAATTTGTATCGCTCTGCAAAAAAAGGGAAAATATTTTAGATAGGATATATTGCATCTCAGAAATATTCAGTCTGTGTGGGATGTCTTAGACTCACCATGTCTGAGATGTAAATGATATCTCCTTCTTCAAAGTACAGTTCATCTGGCTTTAATAAAAAAAAAAGGAAACAAATATATCTGAATGTGTGAATGTAGGAAAAACAAATACCTGGATAAGTCAGAATACATTCACCTTTTCATTCAAAAAAATGATAACTCAAATTCTCTATCACCAAGACAACAGCCTGACAGTCCATAGTTTGACTTGCTAACAGCTAACTTTCTGGATCACTAACTTTCCTAACAACACAGGAAGACTGTGGCCTTTCCAACAAAGCACTGTGCATAGGAAGCAGTGAAATATCTCTTAGGTTTGTCAACTTCATTTGGGACTCTTTTTGGTTGGTCCCAGTTCTCCAGATCTCTTAGGTCTCAACTATCATTGCTGTATTTGGAAGAGAAAACAAATTATTCAAGATTTCTGATCCTTGATTGTAGGTAACAAACTACAGAAGAAAGCATGCTGCTTTAAACAGAGCTGCTCTTAAAAGAGAATTATGATTAATCAGACAGTTTTATTCACATTAAGAATGACTATCTATCAACAATTTATTAAAATTTAAGTACAGTAAGTCTAATATGCCAATAATAGCAGAATTGAAGAAATATGATGGACAAGGTTAAAAGCAAGATTCTCAAACTGCTGAAGTAAAGATGTACTTACCGTTCTGGGCTCAAACGTATATAGGGCCCTGAATACTTTAACCTGCCCTAAAAAAAAAAACAAAACAAAACAAAAAAAACAACCCAATTAAAAAGTCAGTACCAGTACCATGCCTTTAAATCCAAATACATTCCTTTAAGCTTAACGCCAGTTGCTGAATGAATTTGTGCTCTCAAAGAAAATCACGATGCAGATACTCAGCAACCTGAGTTAAAAAACCCAGCAACATGGATTATGAGGGAAACTGGCCACATGATCAGTTACATCTAAGTAGCCTCTTCTGCACACTTAATAGAGTCTTTATAGCTCACTGGGTAATAGAAGTGCTGCCATTGATTTCTGAGGAAAAGAGTAATTTCACTCATATACACACTCACACTTGCTGTATGTACTTTTATTACTAACATCAAATCTGTCAAATGACAAAGAATTAAGGAAAGAAGAAAGAAACAAACCAATGATCAATGACACCAACATGTTCTTACACTTACTTGCAGTCATTATTAGCAAAATAATGCAGTAACACAGAACTCATAAAGAAAAATGACAAATGGTCACAAAGGCCTAAGTAATGTACAACTGATGTCCTGTTCTATTCAGATGCTTAACACAAGGCATAGGGTTTGCAATTCCAGTAAGTGGCTAACAGATGCTCTAATAGGGCACTTTCAAAGGGATGGACACCAGCATTCAAGCCGAGAAAAAATAACCTGAATGCAGAGAGCTTTAAATTAAATTGCATAAACTGCAAAAGAAGGTTCCCTACAAACTTTTTTAAAAATTCAAAAGGTACTTTTCAAGAGCATGAACAGAAAGTACAAATATAGAAGAAACATGTATGTTACATAATTTAATTAGCCGAGCTGCTGGAGTCCATTGGACTTAGAGGAATATATTAGGCAGACTGCTCTGTATTGTTTACTTTTAGGTATCTGAAGTCCTAAGTATGTACCTTTATTTACTTTTAAATGTTCTAAGCTTGCAAGTGTAGGTTACACACAAGTTCTTACACTATATGTGTTTATATAGATTAACTTGTATAAAATTGCAGAGTTTGATCCATTAGGAGAATGTGTTACTTAGGTCACATTAGGTCCAGGCTATTTTGTCTACTCAGAGAAACTGATGAACTTACTACCAAAGGCCATACAGTAAGATAAAGTGTACACATGCAATGTTTTGTGTTGTTTATTAAATGGAGATAAGCAAGTAAAGACAGACTAGGTCTCAAGAACAAGCCTTTACATTTCTAGTTAAGAACCATAATCTCTAGAATTTTGTCCTTTTTTTTCCTACTAGATGTAGTCTTTATAATCCCTTTTGTATCTAAAATCCTAACCCACAAAAGCAATCATTTTAGAATGTTAACTTAAGGACTTTAATGAGATTCTGGGGGCGAATATGCTAACTTTGAGAAAGGAGGATGGTCCCCAACTGCAATTTTGCAGCATCCCTTGGGGTGGCTCTTAAACTATATTTTCAAATGCTTCTGGATATTTCCTAGCAACAGTAATGCCAAGGTATACTTGCCAAGGCATAACAACTAAGCAAGACGTTCCTTAGTTCTCTATTCTCAGGCTTTTTTGTGACTGAGTGTACGTAAAACTACAAAAATAAGATTAATATGTGTAAACACTTTGCTAAGTGCATGTAGATACTGTACATATTTCTTTTCCCAATATGTAATTGCTCATCCCAGTTCTAATTTTTAATAACAGGAATTAGGTTTTGCTTGATTGGTTGGCTGTCTCTTTCAGATAGCAGCCATTTCCTAGACATAAAAGATCCAACTCTTCTCAAACCTTTGTCCCTGAAACAAAATACTTCCAACCGTGGCAACTGCTAAAAAGAATGAAACCTGAGTGATGTTTACTACCTATACAGAGATGATGAAGAGGGACAGCACACAGTAATGCATCCTGGACCAAAGAGCTTTAGCATGAAAAGTGAACTGCAGCTGTGGAGAAGCTAGCAACAACGACAAAAAAACCCAAAAACCAAAAAAGAAAATAACAAAGAACAAGAAATGACACAACAGGAGGGAAGACAGGAGTACTGACCCTCCTCCTTGGCTTTCTTATACAGAAGACACAAAAAAAAAGACAGAACTGCACACTAACAACTATGGAGACTGCAAGCATCATGCAAAAATTCAGTGTTTAATGTAAGTAAGAGGAGGAAATGGACAACAAAAGGGAAGAGTAAGAAATATTAAAAGGGGAAATGAGAAGATGGCAGAAGACAGGGAAAAGGAGAAACGTGCATTTGTGTGTTTCATGTGTCTTTTATACTAACATATTGCATATGTGCCAACAGATTTTCTAAAGCTATCACACCTGTGGAGGCAAAGAAAATAGGAAACACCGATGCTGATTACAGTATGGCTAACACATTGTGTAAACAAAATTCATTTTTCATTTGTTTGTGGGGTTTTCTTAAATTGCATAAACCTGAAACAGGGAGTTACTTCCCCAAATGTCCAACTGTAGTGTCATAGACAGACCAACACATGCTAAAACACTCTTCTGTGATGAAATACAAAGCACAGATCTGCATCTATAGAACTACAGATCTCATTAATATTAATTTCACAGTACTTTATATTGAAGTTAAACACTGCTGATTACTGGCATTGATATTTCAAAAATTTATTGATAAAAAGATATTTAGCCTGTTCACTTTGCTTTATTTAAGAGCTTAGAACAAGTGGATTTTAGCATTTGTAAATTTTGATTTTTTTGTTACCAAATTCTAATGCAACTTACAGTCTACAGGATTAAAATAACAAAATGTTAGCATGCAAAGGGCACATCAGACTTGAATCCTAGTTCTGCGAACAAGAGTAATTGTATTTTATTAGGCACATGGGTGCCTAATCACAGGGAGTTTTTTTTTATGTAGCAATACCTATCGCTAGGCATGCGGACAGAGCTTGCATTGGCAGTAATTTTTGCTTTGGAGGACACAAAAAGATAGAAAGTGCCTGAGGTCTTCCTCTGTTTCCACTTACTACCATCTCTCTAGTACAAACCATGTTTCAACATTCCCATAGGACAGTGAACCAGTAATTAGCACAGATTTGAACTTATCAAAGTAGACTGACTGTACCTCCCCACCACATACTTTTAAAGGACAAAGTAACTAGAACACAGAGCACACATACTTTTTTAAAATTTCAAGGCATCAGGCACACATTAATTACTTTATTCTCATCATGATTAATGAGAGGAGTTTCCCTTTTAAAAACAAAGCACATGGAAGCACAGGGCAGTGATATGTCCCACAACAAATCTTTTTCTAAGCATAGGGACAGATTCAAAGGGGTCTTCTTTTCAGTCCTGTTATGCCTGGTCTGCTCAGTGGGTTTAGGGGAAGGTTGTTTGAGTCATTTAGAGCAGTACAGGAGAAAGAACAAAAATCTTCAATAACAAGCCTTTACATGCAAATTTTCAGAACATTCAGGTAGAATTAGATACTTAGCAAATTTTAAAGCAAAATCCACACAAACTAAGGCACTTCAGAAACTTTAACTTAGTCAGCTTTAACTTAACCAGATACAGGTCATTTACTAAGGCCTTGATTGGAATTTTTTCATCTGGTTTACCATATATTTTCAGAAGAAGTTAGGAGAAGAAATATGGAAAGAAAGGATAAGATAACAGAAAGAAATCACCACCCATGGACTCGGGGACAAGACTAGCCATTTTGATGTCCACATCAAAGTGACAGCCACAACCTTGATCCACAGGGAAAATCCCATGAAACACAAAGTTAAATGTATATTTATATATGCTCAGGTTCAGGTGGGAATTACCAGGTATCTCCAAGGGGGGAGCAGAAATTAACACTCTGATATAACACTGTGGATCATCCACAGTTCTCTCTGATGGGAGGCCTCAGAAATTGGTCTGGGGCCTGAATGGTTTATGGCACCTTCTAAGATATGACAGCTGCCTTTCAAGTCATTGTAGCTGAGCTGGTTATACCCCACCAGCAGGGATGAATATCGTCAGCCTTAGTGTGAATGTCTGACACCTTCCCCACAGAAGGGGATTTTCACACCTGAGCCAGATGAGTAAGGGAAGACATGATAAAACACTTATAGCCTCTTCCCTTATCTGGCTCAAACCCCAGTTTCTTGATAAACACGGGCTGATTTGTTGTGGTCATCCTCTGGAGCTCACACTTTTTCCACCTGATCTTCCACATCATCAGCAAAGCACACCCTGCTTTTGCAAATTTGAGAGTCACTAGTAATATTTTAGTCTCACAAATCCCAAACTTTAGTCATAAGACTGTCTTCTCCCTTCTTATGGAATTTGCATTAAACATATGCAAAACAACTACTTCACAAGCAAAAAGTGTAACTTATTATCTATGCTGAATAGACACAAATACTCTTAGCATACAAACCTCCACTCTCTCTAGCTAGCAACATAAAACTAATGTCAGGTTGGGCCAACCCCACACCTTTTAATTTATTTTGAATAACTTACCTATAAACTTCTCCAGCCTTTCTGAGGAAGGGAAACATGCAACTCATAATTCTAAAAGGATCCTTTCCCTGCTAAGCACATAAAAGCAATGAAACAGAGAAACTAAACAGCAACGACAGCTTAAAAACGCAGCTTCTGATACTGAAGAGAGATACCAGCACTGCTTCATAATGCTAAGTAATTAAAAGACCTCACAAAACCAAACCACCATTTTCTAAAAAGACTGAAAGATTTTTGTTTTCTTCTTACAACTCTGAGGTCTATTTTTAATCAATTGCAGTATCATTAACAGAAGACTGCTTCCAAAGAAGTGCTAAGTAAGGAGCACAGCAACAAGGAGTTACTGTTTCTCTCACAGTGACTTTTTTTCCCCACTTCCTTTCAGTTCTTTTACTCTAGCTTCTCCAAACCGCCACAAGCATTAGCATTAAAATCCCCTCTACCACCAAAACATTCTCCACTCTCTTATTTGCTTTCAACCCACCTAATGAAAAGCTAGAAAAGAAAAAAAACCAAAACCTGACCTATACCTGCATGGCATTACTTATTTAGGCATTTGTGTTAGGCTGAAATTTCAGCACCAAAGGGGAGATAATGAATTTCATTAGCTGTCAATTAACATCACATCCTCAAACATAAAACCACCCCAACACAGTCCTTGGTTCAAAACACACATATTTTAAACAAAATAATGATAAATCAACGTTTACCAAGGCTTGGCCCCACTGGACTGATATGAGTCTTTTGTTAGCATCTGCTGTAGATTGCCATAATCAAATTTCACTGACTCGAATAAGGTGCTACTATTTAGATATTGATCCTGATGCAGCATCTTTTCATTAGCTATATTAAGACTGAGTAGCTCAAGACTACCATAAAAATCGTAATAACTAACTCAAGATGAATTGACTCACTGAGTGTCACAAAGCATTGTCAGTGCCTACAGTACACGGAGGGATAATTTCTGTGCTGTAGAAAATCAGAATTGACTATGGTAGTCTACAGTTAGTTAAAAAACCACAAGTCTGTCAACCTCTTAAATGGTTCAAGCTAATCCTAGGCTCTCATGGGCCACCTTTCTCCTTGCTGGCAGAAAGCTAGACAGAAACAGCTCAGAATCAGTTACTCAAGCACCAGCTTGATCGAAAACAAATTAACCTGAACTCCTACCTGTAGCAAATGTCCAAAAAGATGAAAATATGCAAAGCCTGTTCCAATATCTGACAATCAATTTCAGTGACAAAATTTTCCTTAATGTTGAACCTAAACTTGCATAGCACAACTTGAGGCCATTTTTTCTCATCTTGTCACTTGGGACAAGAGAAAAGCACACACCTTTGAACAATCTCTCTTCAGAGTAATAGAAAGAAACAAGGTCTCCCGAGACTCCTTTCCTCCAGGACAAACACCCCCAGCTCCCTGAGTTCACACCACCTACTCTCCAGACCCTCCATCAGCTCCGCTGCCCTTCTCTGGAGTCTCTACAGCACCTCAACGTCTTTTTTGTAGCGAGGGGCCCAGAAATAGACACAAGACTTTAGGTGCAGCCTCACCACCCAATACAAGGGGACAGGTACTGTCTGCTGTCCACACCACTTTTCATGCAGGCCAGGATGCCAGTGCCCTTCTTGGCTACCTGGGATGGCTCATACTCAGCCAGCTGTTGACCAACACCCTCAGGTCCTTTTCCTTGGCAAGCTTTCTAGACTCTGCCCCGAGCCTGTAGCATTTGGAATTGGAAAACAAGGGGCTTTGCACACAGGTCTCCAAGCAGGTACAGAAGTACTGGAACCACTTTTGACAGGAGTGCCATTTGTACTTTGGTATTTTGCTCACCGACACAGCAGAGTCCAACACAACATTTACGGATTGCCACAATGGAGACAGAAAAAGGTGGAGCCTCCAGTGTTTAGAGAACCATCTCCAACTTCTAAATAACGCTTACCAGAAAAGGGAAGTGAACACAGAGAATACACGTTGGGGGAGGGGTAGAAGGGCATACTAAAAAATGCAAAGGATAGACTGGTGCCAGCCTAGATGACAAACTGAGGTATCCAGGAACAATCATGGACTGCACTAATCAGTATGTGGAATGGAAGGAACAAATGCCATTTCATTAGAGAAAATCAGAAGTAGAAACATTCTCACAGAAAATATAAGAGAACACAGTCTCACTGTCATAGCCTGATCTGAAATCCTGTTTTTCACCAATTGCATTTTTATGAATACCAGCGTGCCTTCATTTGCAGGAAGCTTGCTGGAGGTCCCAGCAACTTGCAGTAATAAGAGGGTTTGAGGTCTGAAATGAAAGTTTATAATTCATATTGAAAGCAGACTGGGAACTGTTTAATTGTTTCTCTGACGTTTTTCTCCCTTCAGACCTGATGACTGCAGTATAACTCCCCACATCCACATGCTCACATCTTCTTAGCTAACAGAAACCTTTCTTTGAGTACAGAAGAAACCCAAACCACCATCACTTATGTCAAATTTAAGCCAACTGCCAAGGCATTAGGCATGTGACTCAATGCAAGTGTTCTGCTTCTGTGAATGCTGTCACAGCTCCTACTTCACCTTAGAACTGAGGTGAACTTGTTTACGATTCAAACTAAGCATCTATGTCAAGAATCCTACTTTTAACTCTGACAGGTACTAGTGGGAGAAAAGTCAACAAATCTGCATTGAGAGGTAGCAACCCTTTATGTTAAATCCTTATGTTTCCTCCTGCCTCCCTGTCAACTGGAGTAATTGAAAACTCTAATTTCCTTGGTACAAAGGCTGGTCTTTCTCTATCGAATATAACTGTTGTCTCAACTCTAGGCCAGGATCAACAAACCTTACTGTGAACATGAAAGTAAGACTTTTTTAAAATATCAGTACACCCCTTTTGTATCCCCAAAAGCTTTTGCTGCACACTATATAAGGCTCTAATCAAAAAGGCATCACCAGATAATTAGCACTCTTCAAGAAAACACTGTTTAAGTAACAGACAACTAAGCAGAAGCCATTAAAGCTTGTCAAATCCAAAGGACTTAACAATCCTGTTTGTAAACAGGATTAATATCCGACATGATATGAACTCTGCTTAATGTAGTTTGAGACATCAACAGATTTCTTAAAAGATGGAGGGGAAGCCCTACTCTTGCATAATGCTGAAAGAAAAAAAGTATGTTTCTGCTATTTTCAACATCCACTCCATTCCGTTTCATTTTTGATAGTGAGTCTAAACAAAAGCTACAGCTAGAAAACAGTAACAATACAGAGTTACACAGGAAAAGTACAGTACTTCTTAAAAAAAAGGCCTGAAAACACTATAAGCTAAAAGACATTTAGAGTCTCTATAAACAATCTTGTTCCCTTACCCAAGGGCTGACTACAGACCCAAAAGACTAGCTCAAGCACTCAGAAACACAATTGTCTAATATATGTTGATTTCAAAACCATCTCTGTAACTGAAATCCTTAAGTGCTGTGCACACAACAGGATTTACAGAAAAGCAATCTGTCAGAAAAAATGCTCTCATGTACTGAAGAAAATGACAGTGTCACAGCTAGTTGGTTTTCCCCCTTCATATCACCTCTTTTCCCTGCATTTTTAAAGCACTAAACTCAGGTCCAAAATCCTTTAGTTGAGCACTGAAGACTCAGTGTTTTAAAAAGGAAATTTATTTCACGATATATTTTCACTTCCCCACCACCAAAATATTTCCCTCCTTCTCTGTCCAATCTGCACTTCCTATTTCCCAAACACAATGGAATGAATGACAGTAACCAATGTCTGGTTTTCTCTCCTATTTGTCCTGCACTTTCATAATTCATAAGCAATGCAAGCAGGCTTGCTGTTTCCTGACAGAGCTTACAGACTTGATACCTAATAACCAGTGAAGAAAAATCAAAACAGCTTGGCCAAAGGCACCAAAACACTCTAGTAAATGCAGTCAAAATGCCACCGAAAGAGACAGCCTTCCACTGCTGTAGAAACTATGTCACCACATGAAGTACCTATATTTATGTCTTTAAATAACATCTATCTATAACCTCAAGAAATTCAATCACAGTACCAAAGGTGTACTATCTGTATTCTGTATTAACATACAGAAGTCAGACATGCAACTGCAGAGACATTTAAGTATGTGAGAAGGCAGTCCCTTTCAGAAAAATGACTTTGAAAAAATCTGACACAACAGACACCACTAAATTTTCTCTCCTGAAAAGTCAGGGATTTGGAAAAATGAGTCTTATTACCCTTAATCGGCTCTGAAAGTCACTAGCAGTACAATCTTACTTTATTACTTACTTTGTTCCTTCTCCTATGAATTTCCTTTTGTTGTGTCAAGCACTCATGCTGGAAAACCAGCTCAGCAAGTTCATCAAACATAAAAATAACCTTACATAGACATACAAATAAATGGACATAAAAAAGTTGAGAGCACCATCAGCTTGTCACGTAACTAAATGGAAGAGAAAGGATGGTGGGGGTAGGGAACATGTCCCTTTGATGACAGTCCACATCTTATCAGATCAAGCACACCACAAACTGCACCCCACCAAACTAGGGAGAGAAACCTAGCTTTGACAGAACATGTCTGAGTCAGTCTGAGAGCTTCTGTAAGTTAGGCAGGGCTACAGCCTCTAACTCTTAAGAAACTTATGTTAAATTTGACTCATCTTCTTGAAAAACAGAAAACTGAGTTATCAACTTAATCGGAAAATCCCATTTTTCACACCTACTCAGCTGTGAAACACCACATCCTTTCAGAAGCCTGCAGATTTCCTCAGTACTGATTGTTTTTGGTAAGGGTCCACAACAGCAATGCTTTTATTACCGTCTTTTTCATTTCAAGTAAGCTGCTTTCAAAGCAGCTTAGCAAACTACAGGGAGAGGAAATTCTTATGAGGATGAAATTACAGCCAGAGAGCTTTAGCAGATTTTGCTTCTGCGGGCAGGATGAGACTGATGGTTTAAATGGTCTAAACTTGTTTCTTCACTAACGTGACTTCAAATTAAAAATCTGTTTTATAAGCTGCCTAGTTAAAATACTCAATTAGGCTAAGCATTTTTTTACATGGGCATTTCAAACAGTATTCCAAGTGCAAAAAAAATTGAAGTTTGGATGTACTTAGGGATCAGACAGTCCTGGTTTGGGAGATGTCACAGTGGGTTTTTAATTTCTAAATAAGAATTTAAGCTCTTACAGTGACAGATGATACAAAACCATGATAAATAGCCACAAAATTTTCCAGATCAATTCCTTACTTAAAAAAACCCCAAACCCTAAAGCCAATGGTTAAATTTGTCACAGAAGAATGTATATTTATTTGAAAAATGCCACTTCTATTCTAAGATTTAAAATTGTGCAACTTCCAACAGCTTTTCAATTTATTTTTAGAAGAAGCTAAGGTTACTATTAATATTTTTAGAAAATTGGCTTTGCAGTAAATTTTTCTGATAAAAACACAGGTGCAACACCTTACACATTGAGGACTAAATGCACTAGAAAGGGTGATGTGCACATTGACACCAGAATTTCCAAGAGCACATTTAGAGTTTGGCTGTTAGGAGTCCTACAAGGGAAGACAGCAGATTCCAACTGTAAAGATGAAGAATGTTGCATGCGACTACACTATAAAACTGGTTTTATG